TCTAGACGAGGACGCTGACAAAACAGAGCAGAGTCTTCTGAACACTTTAAGCTGCAATCTACGAATGTTTGGCATGCGATTCACTTCGACCGCCAAATGTAAGATGATGTTACAGGACTAGACCACACTGACTCCTAGTTTAGAAATAGGAAGTGAAATGGTAGAGCACGTTGACCGTTTCACTTATTTGGGAAGTACCATCAGCCAGTGCCAACGGGTTGATCTCTAACGAAATCTCAGCACGAATACAAGGGGCTCGTTTCGCATTTGTTAGTTTACACCGACTCTGGCGTAGACGAGATGTTCGACTATCGACCAAAGGGCGGGTGTACTGCTCATCAGTCCGCTCCGTCCTCCTTTATGGTTGTGAGACCTGGCCACTGAGAGTGGAAGACATGAAAAGACCGGCTAGCTGTCTTTGATCATAGGTGCCTGCGTTCTATTTCCCGTGTGAAGTGGCATAATAAGGTGAGCAACATTGAGGTTAGGCGTAGAGTTCTAGGTAAACAGGGGAAATCAATCGACGAAGTCGTGAAGCTACATCGACTGAGATGGTTAGGACATGTGTTACGTATGCCAAGCCATCGCCTCCCTCGGCGTCGACGGGCAATGTTAGCGGATATAGGGTCAGGCTGGAAAAAAGCTAGTGGCGGTCAAACAAAAACTTGGCATCAGTCAATGAAATCCACAACAGTTGGTCTAAGCCACGTAGAAAGGTGTAGACTTCCAGGCTGGGGTCCTCGGGACGGTAAAAATCTATGGTTGGAAACAATTGGTGACATGGCTCAAAATCGTTCTCAGTGGCTGGTGCAGATGCATCCACTCCTTGTGACTTATGATCTTCAATGAAACTGTTTTGTATTTCTTTATTACTCCTTTGTCTCACACCTTTGCTCACTGTTTCTATTATGCTTTTCTTGTACTTTCTTCTCTTGCTTCGCGTGCTACACGGAGTGTGGCGACTTGAACTGCTGCACATTTGTGCAAAGTTCTATGTCGAAAACACAGACAGACAGACAGATATCAAATTAAGTAGTCTGTACCTAAGACACTGAATACTACTGAATGAAATCTTATATAAACATGAGAAACGGACGAATGATATTTAAGTCATCTTGAATGTGAACATGTTATCGACTACTACTACTACTATCATTACTAATACTGTAACGACAGAAGACATGGGCCAGGCAAAAGATCGTTTATTGAGAAAATCAAGAGTTATTTATAGATTTCTGTGTACATTATTGTTAGCGGAGAAGCAACCTCTTCTGATTGGTTGTTTTCATGCTGAAGGTTATTCTTTTATTGCTTTTTGGTATGTTTCTCAGAAAATGAAGCCATATATCCTCGAATCATATTTCCACACATCAACTCCTCCGTGACTGACTGGTGCTTGTCTCAAGGCTAAGCTTTGTTATGTGTTTTCTCTCATTACTCTGATTCGAGACGTGAACATTGACGTCAATTGTTGTCTACAATTTTGTCTTGCAACCAGCTGTCACCAGACTATACTACTGCTTATGGGAATAACACTTCCTCGACGGGCAATGTTAACTGACATAGCATCGATATCAGGTTGGAAAAAGGCTAGTGATGGTCAAGTGAAAATATGGTTTCATTAATCAGTTAAGTCCACAACGGTTTGTTTAAGCTACTTTAAGAGGTGTAGACTTCCTGGTTGGGGTCCTCGGGATGGTAAAAACCAATGGTGACTGCTGGAAACAATTGTCGATATATTGCTCAAAATCCCCGTTGTCAATGGCTGGCGCAGATCTATTCGCTCTTTTTTGTGATTTGTCAGTCATATGCAATAAAACTCTATTGTTCTTCCATATTACTTATTATTCTTTTCCCCCTCACACTTCACTTTATTGTCTTTCTTTACTCTCTTCTCTTGGTTTGTGTAGTAAATGGAGGCAGATTGGCGACTAGGTGGAACTGTCGCGCATCTGTGCAAAGTTCTATGTTCCATGAAACCAGCAGTCAGTCATAGAGTCAAACAGACCACCTACACGCACAGAATTCTTCATATGGTTTTATTCTCTACCTGGTTATTTTAATTTGATTTAGAATCACTGTCGAGTGGTTGATGACAATCAGCAGGAAGCTTTGCACTGCTACACCTAGGCTTCGTGCTTATTGGCACTCATCGGTAAGCAGTACGTGTAACGTTGGAGGAAGTTTTTTGGAATAAAGAAAAACGAACACATATTTTCAGACAGGATAATACGAGCTCGTTTTATTCGGTGGATTCTCTCTCTGCAACTGCCTAAATCCTAAACAAAAAATCAGTTATGAGTTACAAAATGGTGTCTGGACATACTTTTCACGATGACTTCAAGTTATAGATTGCAAGTAGTATAGGCAAGATAATTTCAAAGATGATGCAAGCAGACAATTATTTAATGTTAAAAGAGTAACCATTGGAAAACCAACTGGGAGTACTTGACAGCTGTTTCTTCCTAGTTTGGGACTCTTCATCAGTACGCACCCACTGTTGAACCATTGGATCGGGTCCCAGTGTATTAATAGTCTGCGAGGTCACTCGCCTTGTAACCAGAAGGTCCCCAGTTAGAACCCCAGTGGGTGCGTACTGATGAAGAGTCCCGAACCAAGACGAAACAGCTTTCCAGTACTTCCAGTTGGTTTTCCAATGGTTCTCTAATCGATGTCAGCTCACGATGAGTTCCTGTAACCAACTAACATATTTCTGTTTCATTTATACTACCGACAAAAATCACAAATTATTCCTAGCATGTCTGTGTTTTCCTCTTACCCAAGAGACATCTAAATAAACAGAATTTAACAAATTGTCTACTTTTAGTTCAATTCAGATTTTCCCATCGATTGATTGGACTGAAGTGCTCGGTCTCAAGTTGACATGTGGGCTCCTTGTACAGATGCTTCAACGATGTCTGGTCATATAACTTGAAGTCAATTGGTGGATGACGACTGGCAGTGGAATCCACCGGAATGCGCACTTCGTCCTACCTAGGACTCGTCAACTGAATGTGCCTGCATTCCCCAGTGAGTTAGTGATGGTGTTTCCCCATTGAGGCTCGAACTCAGCGCCCACGACAGCCACCTTCTGTGCAACGGGTCTTATCAATTTTTTAGTTCAATTTAGATTTTCCCTTTTGAAACTGTGAGCGTTGGATTCGAGCCCCAGTGGGAACACCATCACTGACTCACTGGGGAATACAGGTACATCCAGATGGTGAACCATCCCCAAGTAGGAAAAAATGCGCATCTTGGTGGATTCCATTGTTAGTTACCATCCAGCAACTGACATAAATGTTTACTTTTTTCGCAGAAAAGGTTGCCTTTACTGAGAATGTTATCTTGGCACATTCCTTTTGGTTCCTAGTGATTCCCTATTAGGTTTCATTACTTCCTCTCATGATCTCCTCCATGTCACTCTTGAACTTTTAACTCGTCGTTTCCCATTCGGGTTCCACTGGCGCGATATCATTTAACAGTCCTCTCAGAGTCTCTCCAGTTCACCTCCGTTTCCTTCAGCATATTTGTTGGGCTATAGATTCTCGGTTGATTCGTTACCTGCCAGAGTTCCCTGTTGTGTTTATCATTCCTGGCCGGCCATCTGATCTTCAGTAAGTTTCTGTAGCAGTAGTTATTTTACAGGATGGGGTTGCTAGCCTCATGCCCAGCCATTCCTTTTTTCACCAGCATTATTTCTGGCCTAGCGAGGTAAAGGAGTGCGTCGACCGGGGATCGAACCCCGGACCATGTGCATGGTCGGCGAGCGTCCTAACCGCTATACCACCGACGTCAGTATGGCGCGAAGGCGGCACGTGTTGATGAAAGTCTGCGCAACATTCTGTTAGAAATGCTTTCGGTGACACATGCACCAAGTCTCTGAATCATATAGAAACAATGACTTCACATTAATGCTGAACGTCCGGACCTTGTTCCTTATACTGAGTGCAGTAAGTTCCCATACTGGTTTCAGAGTAGATAAAAGTCTGTCATGCTTTACCACTCTTGCCTTTGATATCCTCATGTGTGTACCGCCTGCATAGGTAAAAGAAGTGACCTCTTTTAAATTCCTCCCAGTGGTAGTGGTAGATGCTTGTCGGTTAGGTATCTGACTGGAATCCTGTATCCACTTGTAGCCTTGTCTTCGCCACCCGCTTCTTCTTCTGCTAATTTGCTGATTTACGTCTGTAGGTCTTTGAGTTCCTGTGACACATATTATACATAAACCATCCATGTAATCCAGATCTTCCAGAACCTTTTCATCAGTCCAACGTATGCCGCCATCTTCTCGCTTCCCAGCTGTCTATTGCATAATCCATACTTCTTATTTTGGTTGGTAGGTAGATAGGTAATTTTCCATTCATAATATCGTATTAAAAAACACATCTTACAGGTAACGTTTTATAGGTGTATAAGTCTGTCATTGTGCGTCGGTGGCTAAGCGGTAGAGTGCTGGCCGACCATTCACGTGCTTCGAGGTTCGATCCCCAGCCGAGGGATCCCTTTACCTCACTTAGCCAGTAATAAATAAATGGTAAAGAGTCGAGGTTGGGTATGCGCCTAGCAACCGCATCCCATAGAAGTAAAGACCATTGTTACCGAAACTTAAAAGCTCTAACTTAAAGCCCTACGTTCCATTGGCAGCGTAAAGGAATAAAATAAATACTAAAATAAAGTCTCATTAAATTCGATAACTTGTCACCTCTTTATGTGCGTCGATAGTTCATCGGTAGAATACTAGTCAACGATGCGGGATTCGATTGCTGGCCTGGCCGACGCACACCTTTATCTCTCTCCTAGCCAGTTGTAAGCTGGACAAACAGGGAAGATTGTGTGTGTGTGGCGGGGGGGGGGCTAGCAACTGGAACTCCAAAACTCTCTAGCCAGACGCATCATACTCGACTCGGAACGCAAGCGAATGAGATAAAATCACCTCCCTATAATTACTACTTTTACACTTTCTGTTAATGTTTCTTATTTTCTTCTTGGTTTTTTTGCAGACACAAATACGAACACCACTACGACTACTTCGACAACTAATAGTAGTAGCGGTCAAATGAATCGACGTGACAGTTATAAAGATTCACTCAAAGATATGGCTGCATTGATGACTGATGTTGAATTAACCGATGATGTGATCAATGGTATGCGTAGACGTTTCGATTTAGATAGATAACACGCACACATACATGCATGCATACACAAGCCTTTTTCAATCATCCTCCACTGCTTTGTTGTTACCTCATTCATTAAAAGATAACCTTGAGTGTGGGTGTGGGTGTGTGTATATTGATTTCAGACAATGAATACAGCAAGCACTACAATATTTTAGCTTTTAATTAGCTTCTCCTCCTCCTTATCGCCTCTTTCCTCCCACACGCGCGCCAAATCACACATATTTTGCTTTCTTATATAATATTTTTTCTCTCTCTCATGTTTCTTTTCAAAGAAATATCTGATTTATAATGAAGACGAAGAATGATGAGTATTAGTGAAACTAAAAAATTGACATTTTATTTATTTAATGATTCCTTTGTCTATCTTATATTTACAAGATTAATTTTGTCCTTTGTACAAAATAGTAAAGCATCGCAACAATTGATAATAATAATGCATTCTTTCGTTTTTCAGTTTTTGCTATTTATCGCTTTATATATCTATATATATATATCTACATATTTCTATTCAGCTTGCCTTGATTATTTATTTAATATAAATCTGTGATGGAATTGTCAATTTTTTTGTGTTGTTACTGTTGTTGTTGGTGGTGGTGTTTTAATCGTTGTGATAGCGCGTTTCGACGACATATTTTGATAGTATCAGTTTCAAGGTTATTCTTTGTGTTCTGACCAATCGGGGACGTATGTTTACTGTACTGCATTCTAACTGGTTACTTTTGTGAACAGCTTTTGGGTATTTACCAATATATCATTTCGAACCGAAATGCCTTAGTGGTTTAATCTTCGAAACAAAATACTTACTGTAGAGTAGTAATAAGATGCACAATAAAGCTTTATGGGTAGACTTCTATCTTCCTTCTGGAAATACTCTTATGTGATGACTACACGTTGATAGCCACTACCAGATAAGTCCTATTCATTTTCTTTATACAGCACATATGTTAAATTCGCCATACCATCCTGTAGCCAAATGGCTAGTCGAAATCTTACAGCCGCTTCATACTGAGTTGGTGAAACACTGTGTAAAGGATACTTTCGGATTTGTGGAAAGGATAAAAGATTTAAATGTTGACAATAAATTCATGATATCATTTGACGTACCTACCTTATTCACCAATGTACCACTTATGGAAATAGTGGATTTTGTATGCGAAGAACTCAAAAGACGAAACATCGATGTTGGCATTCCTATATCTTTCATGGAAGAGCTTCTCTTGAAATGTACAATGAATGTCCACTTTTTATTTAATAAGGAACTATACAGACAAATTGACGGTGCGGCAATGGGGTCACCACTAGGACCCATTCTAGCCGACATTTTCCTTGCGAAACTAGGGAATGGGCCTCTGAAGGATGTTATTAATGAACTCAAATTTTATTGTCGGTACATGGATGATACTTTTTTGATTATGAAAAACGAGAAGGAAGCAAAGAGCATCCTGGATAAATTTAATGAGGTACATCCTGTAATAAATTTGACCATCGAGACAGAAAAAGAATCTAGTATTCCATTTTTAGACGTCTTTATGACCAGAGAAGAGGATGCCACAATAAGAAGAAGTGTTTATAGAAAACCTACATCAACGGGCCAGTACACACATTTTTTTTAGTTTTGTGCCCTTGAAATAAAAACGCAGTTTGATAAAGTGCCTGGTTCACAGAGCAAGAGCGATTTGCTCGGACGAATGTCTTGATGAGGAACTTAATAATAGTAAACGGTTGCTAAGTGAGAATGGTTATCCTGAAAAGTTTTATTGATAAGAATATGAATTTGAAACCAAAGCAGCCGAAGTTACCAACAGTTCCAAAAAAGGCCTTAATCTTGCAAATGAAGTTCCTCGGGGACAACACCAGCGAGATACTGACACAGTGCCTTAGAAATGCGGTAAAACGAGCATTGCCTGCTGCTGAATTACGTTGTATCTTTAAGACCATTCCTCTTCTGCGTTCGGGAGTAAAAGACAAACTGCCTAATTTCGCCTCTTCAATGTGTACCTACCAATTTAACTGCTCCTGTGGAGCCAGTTACATAGGCCGCACAATTAGGCGTGTTTCTCGTCGAATTTCCGAACATCACCCTGCGTGGTTAAGCAAAGGCCAAACAAAATCTATCCGTAGCGCTATTTTGGCTCATCTGGTGGAAACAGAACATAGGATTGATGTTAATCAAGCTTTCAGAGTTATTTATCGGATACCAACAAATCTCAACTTCGCCTTAAGAGTTCGATTACTAAATATTGCTGAGGCTGTTGGGATCCACACTAAAAAACCTAATTTGTGCGTCCAAAAGAAGTTAGTCCAGACACTGTCCTTACCTTGGCCATCTAGGTTTGAATGATCCTCAATTTTTTGTGGAATTTCCATAATTTTAGTTGATATTCTATTCGCTTTTATATCTTTAATACTAGTATAATTTAAGTATTTTTAGTGAACTGTAATTGCATTGATGATACTTTACAAATCGATATTATTTAAAAAACACCAATATTGTTATTAACTACCAATCTTGGATATTTTGTGTATATAAACATATATGTAAATGTAGAGCCAGAAGAGGAATTTATCGAAAAGAATATTTTTGCTCGATTATTTTGTGTTTTATAGATGTCTCATAAAAGTCGAAGGGTGACTTCGAATATCTGGCACTTACAGCCTGACTTGTGGGTATGTCGGTCTGTCTAGGGGGTCTGGAAAAACCCCTGGTTCCAAACCTACGGTGTACTCGGGCTTTAGAATTCGGAAGGGAAGAAATACGTAGTATGAACCTCTTTTGGCTATGGGAACGTATCTATTCCTGACATTGTTCCACTATCTTGTGATTTAGACTTCAATTCAAGGGCTCGGGGGTAAGAGTGCCCCCCCCCCTGAGGCAATCATAAATGACAAGCGCCAACGTCATCGCGAATTGATTCCAGTGGCTTTAAATGGTCAATAGAGTCGTCTCATAATCTAAATATCCTGGGTTTGATTGCTGGTGTGTTATAAGCCAGCAGTGCTGATGATTCCCTGTCTCGTTCTTTCTGCTGTTTTAACAGTTCCTTAAATGATACCGGTTCATCACGAAACCCACCTCGTAATAAATCAAATCCCAGCCAGCCGGATATCACCTCTACTAACCCATATATTATAGAGTAAGTTGGCAAATAGAAGACAGACACTAGTACAGATTTAAAAATAATCTTCAAATCCTTTCATTTGAATCAACAATATTAAATTATTAGACTAAACTTGCCACTTTTAAGAGAAATTACTTCTTAGTCAGTTCAGCAAATAATATTAGGCAAATGTACTATTCATAAAATTCTAAGTTTTGTCAGTATTATTGACTGTGTCAATTCAATAGAACACGTTTCTTTTTCTTAAGGTTGAAATTAAACCTTGACTAATTAATGATGAATGAATCATTCAGAAAGAATGATTGGTTTGTCTGCTGTGTGGGTGTGTACGTGTGTGTAAAAACTATTTGAGGCATTTAAAATAAAGCCTACTAAAAATAACACAGAGTTCATGTGATACTATGGCTTAATTATGTCCTTTAGTTGATAATCACAGTAAATAAATGCACTCATTGTGCATCAGAGTATTAAAAGTTAAAAGAATTGAGTGAAGAAATAATTTGCCTATCTATCACAGTTGACTAGAATGAACCTGAAATCACAGTGTACACGTAGGAGACAACAGAAATAATAGACTAGATTAGTAGCTCAGGTGGATGATTACTAATTTATTTGTGTTCTCTCTCTCTCTCTCTCTGTCTCTGAGATGGTTGATTCCATTCGTCATCCATTCCCATCATTCTGGACAAAATTTTCATTTAAATTCTCCATGATTAATGTAATTATGTGTCCTAGCAACCATCCCGTAGTGACTGGATGTTAATTTACGTATCTATTGGTCATTTCTGTTATTGACTTGCAATTTGAACTTTCGCGTCATGTGATTTACTCTTTATTAGCAGCTGGTAAATTTTAGTCTATAGAGGTGTTGTGTTTGTTAAAATCCATCGCTGGCTGATTCACTTGAGTACCAAGCAGGCTTATAGAAATTCCCTGACTGCATTACTGTCTAGTGTTTCCTCCGTTTGAATTTTCTACATTATCTCAATCATCTAATTGGTGTCCGTAATTATCGACATGCGTAGATATGACCAATTTGTGTTCTTCGATTCGGTCGGATTCGAAGGAGATGTCCACTTTCACTGATATAATGTTTATTGTAGTTCATACATGCAGTTTATTTTGTAAATAGTATCAGTTTTTATCTTCTTTTCTGTAGGATCTTTTGATTTGCATAATATCGAATGAAATGATTTGTATTTAAGTGTTGGTTTGTAGGGATTTGGTTGATTTCAGGATTTCATCATGAGCTGACATTAGTTAGAGAACCACTGGAAAACCTGGGAGTACTGGACAGCTGTTTCGTCCTAGTTTGGGACTCTTCATCAGTACGCACCCACTGGTCGCGCTATGTCGTGAATTGGCAGAAGTTAGAATTCAAGGACCATTGGATCGGGTCCCAGTGGCTTAATCGTATACGGGCTCACCTTGTAACCGGAAGGTCCTGGGTTCGAATCCTGATGGGTGCGTACTGCTGAAGAGTCCCAAACAAGGACGAAACATCTGTCCAGTACTCCCAGTTGGTTTTCCAATGGTTCTCTAACTGATGTCAGCTCATGATGAAATCCTGAAATGATTTGTGTTGGCTGGCTAAGTGGCTTGAGTGCTATATCTATTTCAAACGATTTGAAATAGATGTAGATATTTTTAAACTCAAGTCATCATAGCAACAATAGGTCAACATTAAAGACCACAAGAGAATTCATTCAACCATATATAAAAATATCTCTGAAATAACAGTCAGAATATTAAGACCGTTTGAAATTGCTTCTTGAGTGCGTCGGGGGAACAGGGATAGGATGCTCGCCAACCACGCATATGGTACGGGGTTCGTTCCCCGGCCGATGCACTCCTTTACCTCTCTAAGCCAGTAATAAGACTGGTGAAGAAGGGAAGTTGGGTATGAGGCTAGTAATCCTATCCCGTAAAAGTAAAATACGACTACTACCGAAATTCCAAGGCTGTAGCTTGAAGCCCCCCTATGTTCCACTGGGAACGTAAAGGAATAAAAAAAAACATGACAAGAAAGTTCAATTCTATTATGGGTAAAATTTTATTTTGATAAAGTCTCACAGTACGCTAGTTGGACACTAGTGACTAGTGTTATGCATGTAGTCCTTTCTTTGGTGCAGACTGAATTCTATCAGTCAGGGTGATTATGAGCAATAAATTGTGCTCGAAACGTCATCAGTAACTGTATAACACTGTGAGACTTTATCAAAATAAAATTTTAACGTAATGGAATTATACTCTACCAAAGTGAACAAGTTTTATTCTTATATCCAGAAAGTTCAAATTCCAAGTCAATAACAGAAACGATCAATAGAGACGTAAATTAACATGCAGTCATGACGCGATGGTTGCTATGAGGCACAATTGCATTATTCATTGAGAATTTAAATGATCCCGAAACCTCCTCTGAAGATGTCTAAATTGACGGGGATGAACGATGAAAGCTTCTCAATGAAATCAACCGGGTCAGACAGAGAATACAAGTAAATTGGAAATCATCCACCTGAGCTACAAATTTTGTCTATTATTTTTATGTTGTCTTCTACCTTTGCACTATGACTGCAGGCTCATTCTAGTCAAATTATACACCGACCAACAAATCACTAGCATTCCGTTACAATGAATCTGACGATACGGATATTTTGACCAAGTATTCATTTCAATGCTATCATTACAACTACGATACAGGAAAAATTCCTCACTCTGTCCGTAATAAGTTTGTTAATGTTATGTACTCGTCGCTGAATTATTGTTATGGACTGGTCGAGAAACTAATAGTCCTGACGCGAGAAGGCGGAAATCAGAAGACCACTAGGTTTGCGATGATACTTCTATTGTCCAAACACAAGGAGACGAAAATAAATGGTCTCACACCAAAGTGGTAAGTAAGTAAAGTAGTTGTAAAGTAAAGTAGTTCACACAAATTGTGAATGCGAATATATATAAATAATTCAGACAAGCGTGGGAAAAATCATTAGACAGTCTTAACATGAATGGCTAATTATAATGGAGTGTCGATCCAATTATACATAGCGAATATAGCAGACATGCCAACAAACATATATGGATATATGTCACCAAGCAACGGACTGTCAACAAACACTCATATTATATATAATATAATATAAGGAGAATACACATTATTAAAGGAGACAAGTCCATACAAGTGAAGTGGTCACAGACTAACCGAGCAAACAGAAAGAGAGACCAACATGCACA